AGAGTTGAAGTTCATCAACACCTAGTACTTCATTAATTTCCCAACTAAAAGGCATTATGTTTTATGGAAAATGTTGTATATCATGTAGATTAAATTTTAATCCAGTACTTTTTGCTGGCAAGGCCATTTTGTTGCTGTTAAAATCAAACTATTGATGTTTTCTCAAATTGTTGACAACTTATATTTAGATGTATCTTTTTACTTCCCCACACTGTCCTGTATGTATAGAACACCTGTCATTAAAGTCATTATTAGGTCCCTTTAATCAACTGTAACAGTGTCTCAGGGATAATCAACAATATCATTAAATATAAGAACATCCCTATTTCATAATTAATATAAATGTTTTGCCTAAAGTGGATACAAATGTAATCTTGCCTGGCTCCATTGGCAGATGGTATGAAGGCGGCATTCTGTGATTTCTAGTATATTTTAAATGCATCCTGCAGCAGAAAGAAAAACGGTGATTATCAAAAAGTCAATTGTCATTCTGTGTCTTTAGAAAAATACCCATTAAAGATAAAGCCAGTTTTAATTAGATTAAGTATCCAATTACTGTAATTACATTTTTTTTTTAAAAATCACATCATGAGGATGACCCTTTTCAAAAGGGTTGCAAGAATAATTAGTGCATTCATATTAACCAAAATGTATTGGATAATATTTATACCCAGAAGGCAAAGTACATTACACATATTTCACCTTTGGGGAAAGCTTGTAAATGTTTTGGCAGTAGTATGAATATTTATAGGCAGGAATGTGCTTTAGTAAGATTATGTGAGAAAGCATTTATATGCTTACACTTTTTACCCAAGGGTAAAGTATACATAAAATGTAGCACAGAGATTATGGATATGCAAAGTACAATTTAAGCCTGGGCATTTTATATTGGTTTAATTAATTGGTGCTGCCTATTTTTAATTTCTGCATCCAAAATGACCCAAGAATCCAAGTGCAGGTACCTTTTTATTCAGTGACCATGTAAACAAATTTGGCAGCGGAGGAGACAAGATGCAGCATTGAACTTGGGCATTACTACAAAGCAACCTGGTCTTTAGGGATAACAAAGAACAGGAATCTGTCCTTGCTAAGAACTGAAGGGATGTCATGGCCATTCTAAGTGGTTACTGTCTATTAAGCATTACCAGTACAAGTACCGCTGCCACTAAGCTAGGATACTGATTTTGTCTCTGGAGGACATAATTTAGAGGTCCCCCTAACTCAGGAGTCTTCAAACTTGGCCCTTTTATGACTTGTGGATTTCAACTCTCAGAATTCCTCAGCCAAGCACGCTGGCTGAGGAATTCTGGGAGTTGAAATCCACAAGTCATAAAAGGGCCAAGTTTGAAGACCTCTGCCCTAACTGAAGAAACTATTAATTTTATGCATTATGCTGAAATAAGTTTTGACATTCAGACATCTTCAAGGATATACAATTCATCTTGGGTATAACTGCTCAAGCCTAAAGTGAGTGAAGATACAATCTTGCTGTATATACCCTGAAGGGGATATATACTTATACTAACCACTAGACTAGAGTATTTGACTTCTGTTAGAAATGTGTTTGGAACCTGAGTCCTCCAAATATTGCTGAAACAACAATTCCCAGCATTTTCCAACATTTTTCATATTGTCCAAGCCTAGTGGAATTTGTTTCATCAACATTCTGTCGGCCTCCAAGGGTTTCCCATAATGGAACAATTATCTTTCTTCAAATGGCAATGCAGCCTGCATCTGAGAAAAAGAAAAAGCAGCATAGACATTTTTAGGAGGAAGATAACTTCTTAAAGTCTAATAACATGCAGAAATAGTACTGCTGACTCCATCAGATACCTGGACATTTACTCTAAAGCAGTGGTGGCAAACCTATGGCACAGGTGCCAGAGGCGGCACTCAGAGCCCTCTCTGTGGGCATGTGCGCCATCGGCCCAGTCCTAGGCCTTCAACTGGGTTTTATAAAACCTTTTCACTTTAGGCCTCCGTCCGCCATGTGCAAAAAAAAAAAAAGGTTCAATCAGTCAATTTCAACGTCTTGTGGGGAAAAAAAAAGATCTTGCAAAGTTGGAATTGATTGATTGAACCTTTTAGTCCCACCCAGTCTGCCATTACCACTGCAGCCACGCTCAGCCAATGGGCCACACCCACCCGACACTCGACGATGCATAAATGGGTTTTGGGTTGCAGTTTGGGCACTCGGTCTCTAAAAGGTTTGGCATCACTGCTCTAAAGATATAGCTTTTTTGAATGCTCCCCATATTAGTGTGTAAATAGCAGAGACAATACAATAAATAGAGACTAATACTAAAGATTTAGGGATAAGATGTAGCTAATAAAAAGTAACACTGGACTTAAACAGCACAGCAGATTCATTTCTAGGGTAAGGGTTACCAGGGAAATACATGTATAGAAAATTTGTAGGGATTTGCCATGGAAATGCAGATCAAGGTACCATGACATCTTGTTACAGTACATGTTGTTGCATATCTTTTCAGAACTGGAGCCAATCATTTTGCATTTGCTCAATAAAATACAAAGGTTGCAGCTACATAACAAGAATAGTCCTGATTTATATGTAACTTATCTCTTCTCACTTGAGTATGCATGATGATTGTGTAGACACAACCATGGAGTTTTTTTAATAACTTCACAGTGGAGTCTCTTCCTACTTTGATTCTCAGAATCAGAGCTAAAAGTCCTTTACCAAACCATGCTCTAAATTTATTATATTTGTGCCCAACGATCTTACCTACACCCAATCAAAACATTAAAAGTAATTAAGCAACTATTCCAAATTTAAGAAAAAGAACTCTAAAGAACAGATCCAATTTTACTATAGAAGAAATGTGGCACTGATGTCTGATCTGATCATCAAGATGTAGAAACCAAGAGGGAAGGATAGGAAGAGCAATATTGCCATCACCCTCTCAATTCAGTCTTTTATACCAATTTTCATGTTCTGTCACTTTCCACATGCTGTCATATTTCTGTACAGGATGGCACTAATGAAAACTATCTTTTAAAATCAATTTTCCAACCCAACTGCTATTGACATTATGATGGAAAGTTCTATCAACATTAAGGTAACCATCTTCCTGACATACTAAGAGGTGAAAAGAGGAGAATAAATAGAACAAGAAAAGTTACACCAGAACTCATTAGATGTCCAATTATTCTTAAAAAAACCAGCAACAACTTAAATACAAAGTTTTATTAGGTAAAAGCCTTACAATCATGAAATTTTCAGAAGAATCAACTTCTTTCATCTTTATTTCTTCCCATGAAAAATATACTAAGTATATCAAATAGAAGCAATCTTTTTTCATTTAGAAGCACTTGCAGCTTTCTCTTGTAGAATTACCCCAAGTCTAGTTTGGCCTCAAGACTAACAATTCACCTTTGCTTTTAAATCAGGATAAAATAGGATCCTGAAAGATAAATGCCCACAACTATTACAAGTATAGTTCAACAAATGAGAACTAGAGAAATTATTCCGAGTGCAAGAAAAGACATTGGATGGTGCTTTCCATTTTACTAAATTATATTCAGATACCAGATACAGCCAGGAAAAGAGGTGAGAAGATGGAGGCAGATGCCATTAAACATTGTTAAGTCACTGGGAGGGACAGAGGCTGTTTCCTCTTTCTGGATAGCACAGCATCACAAGACTTCCATATCGTTCTCCTGCAGTCCCCAGGAACAGATTGTGTTTACACTAAGTTTATAAATAGGAAGCTGCAGCAGCCCTGACTTGTCTATGTGCAGCTTCATATATAAACCCAGATTATGTAAAATCAGGTTATTTGACTAGTTTTTGGGTCAACTGAGCAAAAGCAGAAGATGGGTTCATTCAATAACCAGGTTTTTGGTTTGGGTATCATTGGGTGATACCAGCCAATATACTGTACATACCACCTCTCTATTTTCCTTTGAACTCTTTTCTGGCAGCACAAGGGCTATTTGGTTTTTGAATAACAGCATGGAAACTGACAGGCCAGCCATAGATAGAGGTTGTGTTCGCATGGCACACTAAGCCACAAGCCAGCCAGCTAACCAACCAACCGCACGCCTCCTGTATCGTGCAAACCCAACCCATGCAAGTAGTTTGTGTCTCCCACAAGAATAAGAATGAGTCACAACAAGCAAACAAAGGATACAGAAGTGAATTATCCGAGACAGCTAATACATGCCCACAAACCCACACAAAGCTGCAAGAGCAAACATGCTGCTCTCTTTTATCAAGTTGCTTGATCTGTTGACTTCTCTTTTATCAAATGGCTTGATCTGTTGACTTCTCATGCTTGGCTCTGCTTTCATCCCATCAGGTATACCAGAGAACAAAAACAAGAGACCAGGTTTCTATGGAGATTCTCAGTCATCCAGGTCATAGTTATCTCAAACGTGCTTTTCCACCAGGCAACTGGACTTTCTTGTGTTTCTTTGAAAACATTTTGCTTCTCATCCAAGAAGCTTCTTCAGCTCTGGATGATGGGGAAATGGAAAGATTTATACTCCTTGCAGACAGCTGTTCATTTGCTATATAAATTTTCTAAAAAATGAATGAATGAATAAGTAAATAAATAAATAAAATAAAAATAAATAAATATCTGCATGGTTTCATCTCCAGGCAGGGGAAGTCGTGAGTGCTGCCACCAATCGGTCATAACAGGTGGGGCACCCATCAATTGGACCGAACAACCTTTGGAGAGCAGCAGCTGCTTTAACTCTAGAGTCTAAAGACCCGCAGTCTTCTTCAAGTGCTGCCGCTACAACGGCGGCCCAATCGTAGCCGAGTGATTGCTTATATCCCCGCCTTTTCGAGTCAGCAGCAGTTTTCTATTGGCAGGCCCTGTGCGGACAACTAAAAGCCTCGCCGTGTCTTCCGAAGCTGCACGCGCGCATGGCCAGGGCTCCTACGCAAGCGCAGTAATGGCACGCTTCTCTCACGACCCTGAACTCTATGGTAATGCCGTGCTTAGTACTGTAGGGAGAAGCGGGTGGATGTGACGCTAAGGGGAAATAGGCCGGGTTGATTCTGTTTCCGGTTGTGGCGGGTGCGAAGTTGTTGCCATGGCGTATTCTACGCTCCGGAAAGTGGCTTTGGCTTCTTGCTTAGTGTTATGCGTATCGCTGCTCCTACCGAAGTTTTTCCGTTCGCGGGGCTGGAGGCAGCCGGAGCCCTCCACTGTCACCCCGTCCACCGCCACGCCCGAGGGTAAGAGGCAGCTTGCAGGGCTCCCCGGAGCGGCTCCTCTCGATCTTTTCCTAGCAGTTGCGAAGGAAGCTACACGGAAGACGGTCGCTCTCTATTTTGCCTTATGCTGCAGAGGTTAGGCGTCTAAGAAGGATACAGACAACAGTGGATCCCGCTTTATATTGAATAATAATTAATAATAATCGGGAAATGATTAATATTGAACTGTATCTTTGATAAATCCTGAAAAAGTGTGAGGTAAGAAAGAATAGCAGATGTGGTTGTATCTCTGGGCACAACCATATCTATCCCTATAAGCCCCTTTGCAAAGCCATCTATATAGCCCTCAGCTAGTCTGTCACACCCCTTTTCCAAATCTTCAGATTTGCTTCAATTCCCAAAACTGCGAGCCAGATTGGCTGGGAAAACTGGAAGTTGCAGGCTCAACATATCCTGTTTGGGTTGGGATAGAAGGGCTGATGTTGCCCTTCCTAATTTTTGCAGTGGCATTTTGGAAAACATGTCTGGGGGCAGCAAGCTCAAATATTATAGTAGGTAATACATTTGAAAATTTGTGGATTCTTATCAAAACGGGCTAAGGAATGAACAGACCATGAATCTCACAAGTAACATTTTAGTTTTAGTCATTTTTCACAAAGCTATTAAAGTCTGCTAGTTATTTTTTTACCAAAGGTGCCTACGAATTTCTAGACCAGCATAAAGATGTAAAGGAGGAGAGGACTGAAGAATTCACCTTTTCACTGGTTGTCTCATCCTTGTTTGAAGGAGTGCCACTCTAATTGGTACAGTTGAGTTTTAGTCAAAGCTAAATAAAATTACCAGTTTGATCTGTGAATTACTGTAGATCTTTGGGCTGTAAAATGTTATTACCTAGAACTTTTTCCTATATCCTTAATGCCTGTTCAACATTCAAAATCTTCTGTAAACTACATTGTAGGAAGTGTGAACAAAGCAATTAGTACTACTATACTAATTCTATACGCTTGCATTTACAGTATTTTATCTCAGTGTGATCTTAAAATGGGATTAAAATAGCAATAAATTCAATACATATTTCTAAGAAAATTTGTTTTATTTTGTTTCTTTGAATTATTTCATTCATAAGCACTTGTTTTATCTTCCATTGCATTAGTTTCCTAGCTTTTTGTAATGATCACAATTATTTTCATACATTTTATGTTCTCATGTCCATTATTATTTGCTGATTATACAATATTTTGGATGTTTTATATTAAATATAAATAAATATAAAGATTGTTCAAATGACCCACAATGTGTTTTCCTACTTATTGTTTTCCTCAATCCTTTTCTACTGGACATGCATCACTGCCATTATTCTAAAGTGTGTTTACTGTTGCTGCCCAAATCATTTGAAATGTACATGTATAGGGAAAATTGTTATTTGTATTTTAATATAGCTTATCTGCACCCTTTGAATCTTAGAAGTCACCACCATATCATTACTTCCTCATGTCATTTTTTAGAGTCACACTTTTACTACCGAAATGAAAGTAGTAAATATTTTTCATTGCAACAGAAATTCAATAATGTTTATATTTCAATTGCATTTGCATAAGCCGTTATTTAAACAAGTTTACCTTTTTATTTCATATTTTTTATTTAATTTGGAAGATTTAACAATGAATATATGTTTCTTGTTCTGTTTGAATGGCACCAATTTTGATGAGATACTGCTTATCTGCTTTTCCAAAACTGAAGAACTTCAAGATCTGAATATTTGCATAGGCAGGTGGATATAAAATGTGTATGCATTCTTCTTGAATTGGTTTCAGTTATTAACAGAATCAATACTTTTAACTACTGATAATAAAACATGGCTGCAAAATATAAAAGTTAAAAAAGAACCACAATCAGGACATTTGAAGAAAACTCAATTAAATCAACGATTTGCTGAACATGTAGTTATTTCCTTTCTTTTAATCTTCCAGTAATGTGTATACCTAAGTGGATAAAAGTATTTCAAGTTACTTATGCTTTGAGTATGTCAGTATTCAATAGAATTATAGTTTTGTAAATGGGGAAACCCACTAGTTTGGCTGAAATTTCCCATCAAATGCACTGCATTAATGATAATGTGCAACAAGATCATTGGAGATTAATAAGTACTAACTTTCTCCAGAATTCTTAACTAATAATTCTTATCAATCTTTCATTGGTTTTATGCAGTATTTACATGATATTTTTTTTAGAAGAAGATTCTTTTACACATTTGGAAATGTGTAAAGATATTTGGAAATATCTTTGAACGGCATACCAGCAGCAGTAACTGTGAGAGGGGCCTAGTGAACAACCACTTAAATATGAGCCAGCAGTGTGCTGCAGCTATCAAAAAACCCCAATCCATTCCTAGGCTGCATCAACAGAGGGGTAGTATCAAGATCACGTGAAGTGATGCCTTGGTAAGACCATACTGGGAATATTGCATCCAGTTCTGGCCACCACGATACAGATAAGATGTTCAGATTCTAGAAAGAGTGCGGAAAAGAGCCAACAAAATTAATTAGGAGCCTGGAGGCTAAAACATGATGAATGGCTGCAGGAACTGGGTATGTCTAATCTAACAAACGGAAGAACTAGCAGTGACATAATATCAGTCTTCCAATATTTGAGGGGCTGTCACAGAGAAGTAGGGGTGTCAACCTATTCTCTTGCCTCCAAAAGTTGTACTGTAGATGCTCCATCACTAGAAGTTTTTAAGAAGAGATTTGACAGTCATTTGTCTGGAATGGTATAGGGCAGGCATGTCAAACTGCCGGACCAAGGGACTGGATGCGTCATATCGAAACCGGACCCCTCCCATTGCCGGCAATGGGGGAAAAGTCGCGATACATCGCACAACGTCAGATAATGTCATGAGTTTGACATACCTGGTATAGGGTCTCCTGCTTGAGCAGGAGTTGGGTTAGAAGACCTCCAAGGTCCCTTCCAATTTTGTTATTGGAATATGGAAAATTGACAAACCTGTCTTGTCTCAATAGATTTTATTTCTCTAATGGAAATCATACTGAAAAACAGTATGGGGGGGGGATTTATGGACAAAAGTCAGCTCATCTATGTGACAACCTGACTGCAGTTTTATCATTTCAGACCTAATTTGTTTTAAGTAGCTATAAATTCAAAGGGTAAGTGCCAAATTAAGCTAAGAACTCCTGTGCATCTATAGTAATCAAGATCAAAAGTTTCTGAGCATATTCTTGAATGCATACTAATTTCAACATAAACTGGAAAGAACCAGTTTGGTGTTGTGCAGACAGGTAAAACTTGCGACGTCATGTGACATCACTCAACGTATCGGGACGGTTTTGCCATTGCTGGCAATGGAGTGGGCGTGGCTTCTGGATGACGCGTCCAGCCCATGGGCCAGCAGTTTGACATCCCTGGTGCAGTGGTTCAGACTCCAGGTTAGAAATGAGACCATGAGTTCTATTTTTCCGTTAGGCCCAAATTCAGATAGGTGATCTTAGGCCAGCCATACTCTCTCAGCCCTAGGAAGAAGGTAATGGCAAACTGCTTCTGAAATCTTGCCATCAAAACTATTGACACAAAAGCAAACAAACAAAAAATGCTGAGATTGTCCAATCTTGAAAACCTTGATGGTCATTGCCAAACTATTCTCAAGTTTCTCTAGTGTCACTAATGGTTGATAAAAAGTTTCCTAACCTGGGAAACCTGAAAATTTCCTAAAATGTAATTTCAGTGCCTGCCCTTGACAAGTTCTGGATAATTCTATTTATATTTTAAAATGTATATACATATCCTGACTTAGCAACTGGTCACTTAGTGACAGTTTGAATTTATAACAGATCTCCTCAGAGCTATTTACATCCAGTTCCAGAGTTCTAATTGCCACAGGTCACATGATCGCATTTGAGTGCTAGGAAACAAGCATGCATTCATGGCGGTTTGCAGCATGCAATGGTCACATGACCGATTTTTAGGGGTTTTTTTTTCTGGTTTCTGGTGTTTACTTCTGGTTTCTGTCAAAAAACAACTATTGAAGAAAACAGATGTGTTTAATGACCACTATGTTCACTTTATGGCCACCACAAAACAGGTCATAAAATTGATCATGGAGTGACCCGTTAACAAGAATCATGACTTACGACCATGAATTCTGAGCTCAATTATAGTCATAAGTCAAGAGCTATCTATAAATTGCAAAACTAACTGATTTGATTGGCTTGGTTCTTGTTGATTTGAGAGCTTTCATCTTCATGAATAGGGGGAAGAAGCAAATATATTTCTATACCTGGGGATGTTAATGTAGCTTTTCTTTGTTTATAAATGTTAGTTCAATACAATTTTTTTCTACCAGTTTTTCAACTTTAACTTTTTTTGTTATCTAAGCAGAACAGCAGTATTTCATGTAAATTGCGAACATTTGTTTTAAACAAGCTATCAGTGTCATTGCTTATAACCGCAATTTTAAGCATTCCCAGATATATTAAACTATCCACTGTCAGCTCAAAATATATGCTACCAATTCATGGAGTCATTATCATTTGGAAAGACTATTATGATGACTTATTCAATGGCTCCATTTAGCTTACAGTATGTAACCAGACATGTTAACATTTGCATTTCACCTATAGATTGGGATCTAGATAAAAACAGTGTCCTATTATAGATGGATCGACAGGATTATTTGCTTTAATTAATAGCTCTTAGCAATAGCACTTAGATTTATATACCGCTCCACAGTGCTTTACAGCCCTCTCTAATCGGTTTACAGAGTCAGCATATTGGCCCCAACAATCTGGATTGTCATTTTACCAACCTTGGAAGGATGAGGCCGAGTCAACCTTGAGCTGCTCAGGATCGAACTCCTGGCAGTGAGCAGAGTCAGCCTCAAATGCTGCATTCTAACCACTGCTAAGTTCATTTTCTTTACTGAATACATCTTTACGATTTGATCTTTTTCAGGAAAAAGCAGTAGCTACTTTCCTCCAACAGCACGTCCCCAGATGTCTCCAGAGGTCAGACCACCTGCTTCCCAGTTTCCAAGATCTCACCTTGCTGAGGCTATTGCCAAAGCCAAGGGTGGAGGCGGCGGAGGAGGTGGAGGCAGTGGTACTGGGAGAGGTCTTGTGGGACAGGTCATCCCAATATATGGATTTGGGATCCTGTTATACATCCTATATATTCTGTTTAAGGTAAGATATTTATCTTCACCCTTAAATTAATTCTTGTGTCAAGAAAGTACATTGCAAATCGTGGGTCTTGAGGTCACGTTACAGGAATCTTTTTGGTAAAGACAATATTTATTTCTATCCTGTAGAAAATTATAGAAGAAATATAGAAGAAATGGCTGAGCAATAGACAGATACATTCCATCAATTGTTTTTGCTTCTGTCATTGTGGAACCTAACTGGTGCTATTTAAGAGTAGTTAAACAGCCAGCACAGGGCCACATGACAGATTCTGATGTTCAGAGCTCAGCCTTTGAAGTGCCAGATATTCTCCCCTATTTAAAGGAAAATAAATAAGTAAGGATTTAAAGTTGAAACTGATGCTATCCTTAGAAACGTTGCAAAAGTTAGGGACAAATATCACAGAAAATCTAGTTATTTTTTCCCCCTTCTCTTTATATTCTTTGCATAAAACATTTTGGTAAATAGAATTTCAGTGGCTTCTGTCAAGTTTTGCCGATGTTTGCCCATTTTTTTTAATGGAGTTTGAAGCTGTTCATTTTAAGGATGGCATCCAGTATTGCCTAATCAGAAAGGACAATCCTACAGTGGAAATATCTCTTTCTTTGGTAACCTCCTGCTCTAAGAAAGGTTTCCAAGGACATGTAGGAAGATTCTAGTAATTGGGAGCTTATGGAATAGTTGATATTGCACACATGGGTACTACGGTACAAAATTTTATTTTCAGACATTATCTCACACTGCAGCCAATTTGTTTGGAAATATGGGACGAAAAGGGGGGAAATCATATTCTTTCTGACTACGCAATATACTTTCTACCAAGTAGCACTATAAAATACATAATCTGTTGCTTAGTCTTTGTTTCAGTTTAAGCATAATAAGGAACCAGAAATACTTGCCAAAATATAAAAAAGGACCTTTTAGGATTGAGTTTTGAGAAAGTGATTTTAAACTAGGATCAAACCATGATTTTCAAGGCTAATTCATTTGTTAATTTATACGTTTAAGCCAGAGATTCCTCAGTTTGGTCATTTTAAAACTGGAAGAAGATTTTTTATGACTTCTCCTGGTGTATGAAAGGGGATAGAAATGGAGATACTAAATCCAAGACTTACAATAGCAATAATTCATTAATATAATTAAAATGATAGTTTCTAATTATGGTTAAACTGGGCTTTTTCTCATTCTCATGAGGCTTTTTAAAGATGCTATTCTCACTATTTCTACATTAGTAACTTTTCTTCCAATTAATAGCTTTCCTCTAAAGGGATGATCTCAACAGCCGAGCATAAATACCTTCCTTCAACACCTGGAAATAAAAACCGGAAGATCAGTAAGTACCATTTCAAGTTTGAGATAGAATTTGTTTATCTATGTGGCTTAAAAGACCCTGAGAGGCTTACTATGCTAAAAGTCAATACAACAATAAGGAAGTAAAAAATAAAATAAAATCCAGAAAACCCCTCAACAAAATTCTACAAGGGACTTAGCATCTACCCTAACCCAAGGCTTGGGGAAATAACCAGGTTTTCAGAGCCTTCTTCAATATTATCAGGGTTGGAGCTATAGAATGTCTGGGGGGGATGCTGTTCCAGAGGGTAGGTGGTGTGATAGAGAGGGCACACTGACAGGGTCCCGATAGATGACCCTGATTAATCAAAGGAACCCAGAGTATACCCACTCCAATTTTATTTATTAATGAAATTTATATAGTCACCTCTCTAACAAGAAATGATTCTGACTGGTGTACAATAAATAAAGAACAGTACAGATCTAAAACAAAACATTAAGAAAATATAAATAACATTTTAAAAAAGTAAATTAAAAGTAAAATATATACAGGCAGAAAGAGAGAATGAGTAGATCCATCTTACTAGTGGAGCCATGTAAGCATGCCTCTGGTTTTCAGGACCCCCGTGCCTGGAACTTCCAGAACATCAGAAAGATGGAACTAACCTAATTGGAGGGCCGCAACATGCCTTCTTCCAGATCTAATGGGGTGAGCTGTTGTAGTTGGGGAGAGGTGGTCCCTCAGATAACCCAGTCCCATGCCAAGAAGGGCTTTATAAGTGATAATCAGCACCTTAAATTGCATCTGAAGGTCAACTGACAACCAGTACAACTTGCAGAGCAGTGGTGTCACATGGGCAGACCAAGGCATGCCCATTACTTCCCACACCCTATATATGAACCAGCTATAGCTTCTGAGTGGTCTTTAAGACAACCCCATGTACAGAATATTTCAATAATCCACTCACAAGGTGACTAAAACATGAATAAGTGTCAGAAGGGCCTCCCAGTCCAAAAATGTGTGTGTGTGTGTGTGTTGAATATGTCTGAACTCTTCTATATACAAGTAGAAATGTTCTTTGCTTCCTGAAGCATAGTATAAACCATTTTCCTGTACTTCTATTCTTTATATGTTTTACAAAGAATGAATCCCCATCCTTTTAACTGATTGTGCTGTATTTATTTTTCACACAGTCCTAGACATATACGTTTTAAAATAAATTTTACCGCAGCCAGTGAGATTTATTCTTGAGAAAGGCTGTAGCCTTGTTTCTCCTTCTTCTCATCCAAAATAATCACTAATTTTCTTCTTTTGCTGAATATTATTTGTATCACTAGGTTATGTTTCTAACCATGATAGAGCCTTGCCTTTCTTTGGGCAATAAAAATCAGCGAAGAAAAATTGAATGCATCATGTATGATACTTCTGTGGCTTTAGGGATAATCCTTTTCCTCTCTTTTTCTGTTTGGAAAGAATAAAAGATAGGTCTGCTTACTAGCATTCATGGTTTAGAACAAATTCCATTTTTTCTGGATGTACATTTAAGACAATCCATGCTTATTTAATGGACTGAACTGTTTCAGCTGCAGCTAGTGACACCTCCTGGAACTGTGTTTATATTACAGCTGACTATGAACTTGCTCAGCTTCAAGATAAACTGAGAGAGACCGAACAAGCCATGGAAAAAATAATCAACAGAGTGGGACCCAACTGTGAAAGGTATTATTCTTTGTTGAAGGCTCAGTTTTTATACTTACATACAGACCAGGCCAATTCACATTTTCAAATGTTAAATTTGTGGTCTTGCTCTCTCTCCTTTCAGAGGATCAGCTATCTTTGACTTAATCTGAACTGATGTGGAAGATATAGCGGGAATTTCAGAGGAAAGCAGATAAATAATTGTTGGAAATGTGGTATTAAGACAAACTAATGTACTATAATGCAATTGAAAACTATTTTAATAAACTTAGATTAGAATTCCATGGCAGAAAATCTAATGAAAAAGAACCAAAATTACAGTAGAGGGAATTCTTTAAAAGTGCAAGTGCAAACAATCCCAAAGTGTTTTTTTTAAGGGAGACAATTAAAAAACAACAACAATAAGACTGGATAAATGGTGAAGCTTATAGACATATATAAGAGGTGAAAAAAGGGAGAAAACACCAAAGAAGACTGCAACAAGAACAGGTGGACCAGATTTATAGAAATGCTAACAGGGAAAGCAAAACTCAAAATGCCCCAAGGCAAAGGATGACAAATGACAAAATGAGCTGCTTCAAACACATTCCAAAGTGGAAAGGGTAAGAAGAAGACAACTTACCAACTTTTCAGTCCAGTGACCATGCAAAATGGTCAGTGATGGCTTGGTCACAGAAGAGGTGAAGGGGAGGCTCTCTTGAGCAGTCAAAATTACTCTTTCCTAAATCTTTTCCATCTGCCTGACCAAATACCAAGTTACAGTGTCTTGAAACAGACTTATTTATGCCATTCCCTTTCTAGATGACATAGTGAAACCAATATTCAAAATGAAGCAAACCTTACAGCTTATCATTCCATTTCCTTTCAGAAATGAGGCCCACGTAGCCATTTTTAAGAACAGCCATACCATTTGGGATGGGGGGTAATCAGTTGAGATGACAGTAGTACCCCCCCCCCAGTGGGCCACATGGCTCTTTTGACTCTGGTGGTCATTCTTCACTATATCACAACTTGAATTTGAGTTCTTCACCCTAATCTATGGCTTCCGAGCTGCATTTTCGTTTGTACCCCATCCCATTATGTGGCATGGTGATGGTTTTTTTATTTCTTGAAAGAAAGTTAGATAAGTATTCTGAATGCTTTCTCCTTTCTTGTGATATTTAATTAGCATGGGAGAAAATGATGATAAAAACTGTAAGTCACTCAAGAGATGAATACATATAAAAGGCCCCTCGTTCCATTTATTTCCCAATGGCCAATGCCTTTGGGTCTGTTATATAATTATTTAGTGTCATTATTTTCTTTAACAATAATGTGAGTCATTAAATAAAGGGGAAAATGGACACTCAGTAAAATATTTGGGACATTATTTTAAGTCAGCGCTTTTTTAGTTCCATTGTTTCTCTCATCTTTTACCTCTTTCAATGGAATTGTGCAGAAGGAAAGGTAGCAAAGACCTTTCCTTGCACTAGTAGTACAGGTGACAACCAAAGTGTGTCCTTCCAGATACTACCATTCTTTACTGCTGCTCCCACCACTTCTTCCTATTGACCATGTTTGCCGGGATGCTAAGATTTCATCTTAATTCTGATTTAGGGATATTTAGGACTATAAGATACCAGAGTAGTCTGATTTCAGAGGATAGAAAATATTTAAATTAACATCAGTATAATTGCTTTATATGTTGGTCATTGTAATAATTATATTTGGGCTGAATCTAGAACAGCTGAAATGTTACAATCCGTATCATATCAAAGTTCGAGTAAAATTTATTTTTCTCCTTAAAATTAGACCACTCTGTGACTTAAATATATTTGTGGAGGTCAGTTTAAACTAACCAACCAACCAAGATTTCCTGTTTCAAAATAAGCTACCCTGAAGCTTGGGCCATCATCTCTCCTCCTCAGTTTCACGTGCTACAAGACAAAAACAGAAGTTTCTGTTTTTGGTCTAAAACTAATCAGTTTTCTAATCAGTTTTCATCTGAATCTGGGGAACTGTAACTTACCTTCTATTTTGATTCAAGTAGTCAACATGACATGGTAGATATTACACAAAGATATCAGTATTTGCAGTGCCCTTCCTGTGAGAGCATTTAAAACATACTATGTCACCATGTAACCTCACACATTTTTTCTGTAAATCATTCCTTCTCCCAAGAAGGAAATTGCACTCTTTTTTTTTCTCTTTGGTATCGAGATTGCCTGCAAAGTCTTATGGAATTTGGAATCTCCCCCTCCCCCCAGGAACCCTCACTAGGACCATTCCATTAAAAATGTGTGTAAATATTGCCAGACACTGCTACTGGGTGTGTTTTAATTCCTATTCCACAGCAGGTCCCCAAATGTCACAACTGATCAGGAGAAAAGACTTCTTCAACAACTCCGGGAAATTACTAAAGTCATGAAAGAAGGCAAACTCATTGACAGCATCTCCCCAGAGAAAGAAGCAGAAGAGGCTCCTTATATGCAAGACTGGGAAGGTTAGAGTGAATCCTGCTCAGCTTTATACCTTCCCTTTTACTCCCTTTATAGTGAAAAGGGCACTTTGCAGGTACAAAGTGAGGTGTCTGCAGGTACCACATTGTATGTCTCCAATAGGTAGTTGACTCATGACAACTATCTGGGCTAATCTTGGCAACGTTTTTCAGAAGTAGTTTGCCATTGCCTGCTTCTTAGGGCTGAGAGAGAGTGACTGGCATAAGGTCACCCACATGTTCAAGGTGGGACTGGAACTCAGGGCCTCCCACTTTTTAGCCTGGTGCCTTAACCACTGCACCAAGCTGGCCCTCCTGACTCCAAGTAAGCTGTGTCAATCTAGAATTCCAGCAACACTGGCTTGAAAGAAAGTGTGACTGCAACTAATGTCAAGTAAATGCATTTACCATACGGCTTCCCCAAATTCCCAAAGTCTAGAAACTTTTATCAGAAATTCTGATAATATTGGAAATAAGTTGTTTGGATTCACTGCATAATCTAAGATCAGTTCATTTTGTGTCTTAAGGTTATCCAGAAGAGACCTTTCCTGTTTATGATAATTCTGATTGCTTCAAGCACAGACAGGACACGATTCTGGTAGATTTCCCAGATCCAAGCCAGCCTTCTGCTGAAGAGATAGCTGAGCGAATGGAGTTTCTGGACAATGAGGACTGTTTACATAGTGAAACTCTTTTGTCTGCTCTTGCCATAGTGAACAATGGCTCTGCAGCAGGATCTGAGAAGAACCAGCAGACCACGTTCGGTGCTCAGAATGGGACTGGCCATAACTTTGAGGAGTGCTACTGTGGCCACTATGAAGAGGATGATCCTGCTGTTCTAGCAGAAAATGCAGGATTCTTCTCTGATAGCTGCAGCGAAACAGAAGAGGTAGTCAAAGGGGAGCTGTCAGTGGACTGCGATTATGGAAATATTGTATCCACAGAGCAAAAGGATGAGAATCCTGATGAAATTGGTATCCTAAGAAAGCGAAACACAAAAGTCACCGAGTTACTAGGACACTGAGGATTGTGTACAAACGGGTCACTTGCACAGATTGTGATTTTTGCTTTTAGGACCAAGCTTAACTTCTCTGTTGTGTGCCCCATTGAAATCTTGCAACAGTGTTCATTGTCTCCCTTGCTATGGCCTCCAAAGATTTTGAAAACAAAATAATTTTACATAGTTTTTTCCTATGCACTTTTCATCAGCTTTTGCCTTCAAGAGTGCAGCTTAGATTACTGCATTACCTAGTCCTGTAAAAAGTGCAAAAAGTAATCCAAGAAAAAAATGTTCTTATTTTTCTCAGTGTATTTATGTATTAAGAGCAAAACTTGTCCTACATAAACTGATGTGGTTCATTTTTAGTAACATACAAGGGCAGCAAACGATCAATACAATTTAATCATTATATAAGAAGTACAGTTTAGATAGATTTCTTTGTTCATTTTGCTAAGAGATAAAACCTTTCATATCTTAAAAATGAAGAAATTACAGCATGCAAAAGATATTTCATAGGCCGTTCAGTCGATGTAGTGGTTTGATTCAAATTTCCAAGCTGAATCTCTGAAGGGATGTGAAATATCAGATTTAAATGGACGTTAAAAGACTGTCCAGTGATCTGGATTTGAATAAGAAGAGATTTGTTGGATCACACAAGAGTATGACACCTTCCTGTGATTCATTAAAATGGCCTCATTTTTATAGGATTGTGCAGCTGCTGCATGGAAACCTGTGCTGCAATCATGCAATCCTGAGAACAAATGCGATTGCTTCCTAAATGAGTTTACAAACCGACACTGAGTTTGCATTCAGGCACCTGTGGATTCAAAAACATGACTTGTGGGTCAAATTTGAAGTGTTGCACATCGATATTGGATACTTGTGAATCAATCTGGAAAGAATAAATCCTAATTTGGAAATTTGACAAGTTTTTGTGCTTTTTTTCCCCCAAATAGAAGTGACAGTCTAAACTGATTTTCCCAATCAGTTTGGAAGTCTAAGTAGAAGAGGTGCATTTTTTTTCAAAGGCTCCAAAATTTGAATTGGTTTAAGGTCGATTTGTACATTCCTAGTACTTCAGTATCACCCCATCCAGAAAAATATCAGTTGATCATTTTGCCTGGTAGCCAGAATTCTCCATAATTGATTGGTTGCTTCATTCATTCCCAGCTGGGACTTTCAAGATGTATTAGGTTGCAATTTCTATTGTTTTCTGGCAGTTTGATGAATTGCCATTGGATGTGAAGTGACAGGAATTTTTCCCCATGCAGTGACACGCATTGGGGCATCTAAGTATCTTTTTCTCTGTCTAATTAAAAAAGACCAGGTGGTTTCATTTTGCCAAAGATTGCTAATATTTTTTAAAGGAAACAAGCAATCTTGCTCATCTCACTGGTAGCTCATTGTCTGCTATCTCGCTTTTACACTGATGGTTTCTATCACATCTTGTCAAATTACACTTCAGCCTGAGTATATTTGGCTATAATCTAGATGAAACAAAGAACAAGTTTTGCAAAAACTGATACAGAACTTAACAACATTGTGAAAATCTTAAGAAACTAGGAGCATATACTTGATATTCAGGATAAAACTAGATGATGGACAAACTAAGCATCATTATATCCCATTTCTGCATAGTTGCAGAGCATTAATAGCCTGATCTACACTGGGATATTTTTTTTTTTTTGCTTGATGATTTCCACACTAGTGACTTACAACATTTGCCCAGCATCACTCAGCTACTATCAAAGTGATATAAAGCCTGCCCGCATTACTGCCATTTTGACATAAGAGTAGATGATCCCAGAAGGTGCTATAAATTACTGTGCAGAAATGTCCTACGTGTTAAAATTCTCTGTAAATTATAAATAATTGGCATTTAAATGTGCTGTTTTATGCAAGCTTGCCTTCAAAGGAATATGCAAGTAGGAAGAAGGGTCATACTATGTCTGCATTACAAGAGAATATTTGAAGCTCAGGGCTGAACTGTGGGGTCCTTGGTGCTCTCTAAGCTTGATTGTTTGCTTGCAGATATTTCAGTGCACTGATGATGTTACCTAGCTGGGTTATGAAACACCTGCAGGCAAACTATCAAGCTCAGAGAACACCAAGGACTCCCTATGCCTGCTTTGTCCAGCATAAATGTATCTCTTTGTTTTCAAGTAAGAACGGGAAAGACTGAGCCAATGGACATTGGTTGTAGCTAATTCCAAGTGTAATATTTGGATAGAAGGTTTCAGCAATTATATGTCATGGCATTGTTGGGAAGCTTAAAGAAATTGCCTTAGATTTTTGTCATTTCTTCTCTTTCTGGTAAAGTCCAACTAGAAAGGAAAATAGAAACTTACTTAGTTACTGGAAGAATATATTTAGCTTTTGTAGGTAGAACTTCTTTTATGATCACTGAAAAATGTTTTACAATGAGTTCACCCTTCCTCACAACCTGGTGTCTCCCAATGTGTTGGAATGATATTTTAAATTCCCAACTAGCATAGCTATTGACTAGATATGGTGGGAACTATAATCCCAACAAATAAACAGCATCAGATTAGGAAGGGCTATCAGCAGTTTTGTGTCTTATCAGTTTCTACTTGAGTTACAAAGGTATTAATTACTGAAAACTTTAAGAAAGGCTAGTTTTGTGAGGTCCTCCCATTCGGCATAATTTCATGGCCTGTGCTGGCCCCCTTGAAACAATAACAAAAATAATACAGATAGTCATTGAGCCCAAAATTTCTGTTGCTAAGTGAGACATTTGTTAAGTGAGTTTTGCCTCATTTTACAACTTACCTTGCCACAGTTGTTAAGCGGAAACACTGCAGTGTTGGTAACAGGGTTGTTAAAGGAATCTGGCTTCCCCATTACCTTTGCTTGTCAGAAGATTGCAAAAGGTGACCACATGACCCCAGGACATTGCAACGGTCATAAATACGAGTCACTTGCCAATTGTCTGAATTTTGATCACATGACCATGGGGACGCTGCAATGGTCATAAGTGTGAAAAACAGTCATAAGTCACTTTTTTCAGTGCCATTGTAACTTTGAACTCTCACTAAACAAACTGTTGTAAGTCTAGCGCTACTTGTAGTAGAAGTGTTGTAATGTATTGTTCTTCTAAACCTCATATTTTTATTTACGGGGATAAACAGTAAGAAAAAATTCCAGCACATTTTTTATGTCTCTGGGTACAAATATCAATCTTAACAATACAGAATCAGTTTCTATTTTTCTATTGGCTGCAGTGTTAATGTTTTCCCATTTCATGCTTTAAACGAATGATAGGCAAGATTTCAGATAAACATTTTACATAATTCACTTGGACCAATCAGCAAAAATTCAACTGAAGGAAGTTGGCATTTGTTAAAATCCTCCATAGAAACAAGAAGTGCCAAGATTACAGCAGAGACAATTTTTGTTAGAAAAGTAAGTGATTTTAATTTACATTCTAAAAGAGAGAGACAAATGGAAAGTGATGAATATGGTTGTTTTGAAAAAATACCACCATCCTTTGAAACAAATTCAAGTTTTAATTTTTTCTGCAGTTTTTCTGTATTGACATGTACTGTAATCTCTACAACATACACAATGTAAATTATGTGAAAATACCAAATTAGTTATACACATAAATAAATACATTTGCTTCAGAAATACCAAAGTATTTTTTTAAAAAATCGGCATCATAAAACCACATTTTCTCAGATTTATCTAAAATTCTATAGAGTTTGAAACAAACAAAAGAATGCCTGACTGCTTAAACAGGACAAGACAGTCTTGTGCAAATTGACATAACGCATTCTAAGCTTTATGCAAAAATACAACTGCTTAAATATTTGTTCTTATTCCTAATTGTTCTTAGACGCCCCATATCCCTCCCTCCTTAACTCAAACACCATTTAAAACAACTTGAGACAGAAACTGTGGTCGAAGTCTATTAGAATGATCATTGGTTTGTTTTAAGAAAGGCACAGTGATGAATTAGAATGTGTTAGCCATGAAAGAAAGCATTGCTAGCAAATTTTGTTCACTTGCACTTCAGGTTCTGCTTTGTACAACTGAGAAGCCAGCTGACATTTAAAATATATATGCACATACCTATTTTTGAGGAGGCAGTTAAATCTAAATATTTTATCTCGATGCTACACATTTGTCTGCAGCCTACTAGCAATATATTTTCTATATTTCACCAACCATTTAAGTTTGTGATGGAATGGACACTTCAGAGTAATTGAATATCAGCATTTTGGCCTGACAGCTTTTGCCTCAATCATAACTGAGATTCATAATCTACCTGTTCATTGCTTGCCATTTTTCAAGCCAAAGAGTAACAGTGAACCATTAATGGTACAACTTCTTGAGTGTTGTATAGATGTGTGTATGTTGATGTTCTCTATAGATGGCATATGATAATGAGGCACATCAAAATTTTGATGCTCCAAATCTCACTGAATTTTAAAGGGATAATGTGAGTACTAAGAGAGGAGGGGAGTCTAGCTATAACTTTTCCCAGGAACTCCCACATTTGATAACGTCTGAGAAAATTGGAAATGTTCTTGCCAGTTTTCTCAAAATGTCTCCTAAGAGAATTGTAGGCCAACAATCTAAAGAGAAGTCTGGAATCAGAAATGAGAAAGCAAGGGCTCAGCACTGTTGGCTGGCCTTGGTTAATATCCCAAATGTCCTTGTTACAGACTCTTTCCTCTGAGAGGAAATAGCCAATATTTTTAGATGGCTGATGGACTTGACACTGTTCCCCTCTTCCATGGGAGACTTGGAAGCTGTAAGATGTTGCTGGATATAAAAGAGATGGGACTTTTATTCATTCTAATACTGGGAGTTACAAACCAAAGCATGCAGAGGACATCAGATGTGTCAAAGTCTGGTTTAGAGCTTCAGTGCCAACAAAAATCTTTCCAGAGGTCTTTTGCCCTGATAATGCTTTCTCAAATCTATAGTTAGTCCTTGAAAAAGAAATATTTTTAAATTGGCACTTCATTTGTGAAGTCGAAATGTGAAAGATTTTCCAAGGACAACCTTCAAACCAGCCTAAATTATAAAACTAAATTCAACCATGGCAGAGTTTAGGATGTTTGGAATTAGAGTCAAAGATATATGCCAGTAAGGCTATAGGGATAATGAAGGGGACAGCTCATTCTTCTTGCCCTGTTTTCCCTATTCTAAATTCTCCTGAGTTGTTTTCGTTGGCCTGAAAAAAACACAAAAGAGAAAAGGCAGCTGGCTTACTCAGTGCTTGTGGCACACTTGTCAATGTTCCAGAGTCAGAGAGTAGAACATGGTTGTTACATGCCTTGCAAAGCACATCATGCAGTTAAAAAAATATACACTTATTTCTCTGCCTCACTGATCCAGTTGCGTGTATTCTACTTCTCAAGCCACAAAACAATCATCATTCTTTAGGTCCAATCAAACAAGACATCCAAATCATGCTTTCTTTGATAGGGTCTTCATTATATTCTCACAAGGGGCTGAGTAACTTGTATAGCCCAAATCTGGGAAGGACAGATACATTTCAATGGGCCACAGTCAATGTCAAGAGGGGGGGGGGAGAGAAAAGAACAACAGCTGCCTCTAAAAGTAGCAAAGATATCAGTTTCTCTTGCATGCCTACTAAGAAGTGAGTTTTGCTGTATTCAATGTGGCTCATTCTCCCATTATAATACTTAATATTATTAAGATCAGTACAAAACTGACAATTACTAGATGGTGTAAAAAAAAAAAAGAGAGAGAGGGAAAACTCTACCTCTTTGTTGCAGTCTTGTCATCACCTGAATCTTTTTACAAACCATTCATAGTAGCCCAGGATAAAACTGGGACTTTTGTCCAGAAAATTAAACAAATATTTGCCACATTAACAGAATAGGAACAACTTCTTCTCGTCCTTATTTTTCCAGTTGAAAACTATTTAAG